ATCTGACGAAGAAAGGCAAATCAAACACCGTAGAGTGGGGAGAGACTGAAGAGAGAGCTTTTCGATGTCTCAAGAGCAAGATCTCAAATGCTCCAATCTTGCATCTGCCTGATGTCGACCGCCCATTCATACTTCGAACTGACGCCTCCGAGACTGGTATAGGTGCAGTCTTATTACAGGAGTTCGACGATGAAAAGTTTCCGGTGGCGTTTGCAAGTAGAAGGTTGTTGGATCGAGAAACGAGATACTCTACCATCGAGCGAGAGTGTCTTGCTGTAGTCTGGGCAGTACAAAAATTCGAAGCATATCTCTACGGTAGGGAATTCGTACTCGAGGTTGACCACGAACCTCTTCGCGCTCTTCGTCGAGGGAAGCTCGCGAACGGACGTGTGCTCAGATGGGCGCTTGCCTTACAGTCTTACAGATATCGCGTACAAGCGATAAAGGGTAAAGAAAACGTAGGAGCAGACTATATGAGTCGTATTTGCTGAATATAAAGGGAATGTAGAAGTACACATTTTGGTTTGGTTAATGTTAGAGTCCCAAAATATTTTCTGAAAAAGGGGGTAAATTGTCAGAGTAAAATGGGAAATTTGTTCTTATTTTATTTGTTTTCCTATTTTCAAGGTCATCTAGACATTAGAGGGCGTTAGTGATAGAAAATATTTCGCTTGTCTGAATATATGCAAATTAGGGTGTGGTGCCGAGAATGCTTAAAGGTGTGTACGTGTGGACTTAAATCAGTGCAGTTGACTAGAAGACGAGGTTGTAGCTGGACGTGTGAGAGGTCTTGAACATGTACCCTTATGTGTGTTGTGGAAGTTGCTACCAGAGCCTTGATTTTGTATTCGGCGCAAGCAGTCCTTTTCCTCAGGCGACACCGGTACGAGAGGTATCCTCCATGTAGCCCAGAACCTCGATTTTCCTGCCATTGGCACAATTTTGTCAACATAACTGTAAGTAGCTTTCTATACATAACCTATGTGTGATAATGAGATTCAGATAATTTACATGTTTACAGTGTGCAAGAAGCACCACGTTAGAGCAAATTAGCTCGTATGTGTATCAAAAGTAATTATTCACGAACACGTGACGAAAGAGCCGTTCATGAAATATCGTTCTCCTGAGCGTCGTTCGATAGGGATAATTATATACGTTTATTGATATAAATGCTTTAACGCTTCATGCATACATTTTGAAATTATATGTTAAAGAACATTTTATTTTGTGTTAATGAATTAACGCAGTACAACCTAGTAGTAATGATGAGGAACAAGTTATTATTGAGATTACTGTGCTAGAAATGACTTAATTTCTCTAACGAATTTTTATTGACATAACGAAATTCTTATAATGATTGATTAAGTTTGTGGGTCATCATCCTTCCGACACAAGTCTCCAGGGATCTATTCCTCGTAGAAACCATGTCGGTTTTGGATCTTCTGATATAGCAATTAAATCTATTTTTGCCCGGGTCAGTTAGATTGGTGACCCTAGTTAATAATGAAAAGAAAGTGTAGTGGAAGGAAACCATGTTGGTTTTGTTATAACCGGATAAAGAAAGTTTGGTGAAATAACCTTTATTATTTCATCGTTTGCTTTATTCGAAAATGAGTATTAGAAATAAGTGTTAAAACCGTAGAAATTAAATATCATGTATTTTGAAGGATATATTGATAATTTCATTTATAGCCGTAAGAGCGGACAAGAACGTTCTTCACTACTAACGTGTAGCAAGCATCGAATCGTCGAATTAGCATCCAAGCATCGAATCGTCGAAGTAGCATCCAAGCATCGGATCGTCGGATTAGCATCCGAGAATCGCCGAGTCAGTATATCCGGGATCTTGAAGCACGTGACCGATTGCCGTAACAAGCGATTACGGGACATCAACCTTCACAAGTCTTCAAGCATCGAATCGTCGTAGGAACTATGTCGGTATTTGATTTTCTGATATAGCAAATACTAAGCAGAAGGCTTTCGCCTTATTTCGGACAATCGTCGTAATTTCGGACACTTTAAAAACTGGGAAGTTAACTTGTACGAATTACACGGGGTATTGGAATAATTAAATGACTGTACGTATTTGTAATATTTGTGTAACAGCAGATTTATATGAATTGGGAAATTAACTTTAGACGGGATTACACTTTTGGGTATTGGAGTAATTAAATGACCGTACGTATATGTAATATTTCTGTAACAGCAGATGTCTATGAATTTAGATGTTGGTGTAGTTGTCAAATAAAAGTCTGTAAAACTCATTTATGAGAGTCGTTGTGGCTATTTTGTATATCTTGACAACGGTCGGCTTTTTAATTTTTGATTTTTGTTAAACGTTAAACAAATAAAAGATGCTTTATGAATAACAAAATATGTATTACAGCATTCAAAACTGAGAAATATCAGCCCAAAGAGGGAATGTGATTGATCACAAGGACTGTCAAGAAATTTACTCCAGGAAATGAACTCCAGGAAATGCCATATTTATTGTCCATAAAAGTAATTGTCGAGTCACGTAATATGTCAGTGTAATAATTGCACATTTCAAAAGGATTTTTACGAGGCTTTTGAAATTGATTACGGTTGATTCTCGAAAGTCTCTACGATCTTGTGGACTGTTTCCCTTTACTGTTGATTGCTAGTCCAGCTCTGTATAGTCTCAATCAAGGGAACCTCAAAGGTTTTTTTCAGATATGGCGTGGTAGTACCACAGCAAAAAGGATTTATACATTTTTACCGTATATTACACTTTGCGTCATCCTAAAGAAAAAAAAACACCCCTGGTGATTTGCAGCGTCATATCTGAACGAGCCTTGTATGCTGATATCACTTCATCGTTTCTAATAATTTGCCTTTCATTATTTCATTTTCATATGATTAGATACATGATATTAGAATTCTGGTCAAACCAGTAGAACATTTGTTGGTAATTGTAACTAAGCTCTTCTCATGTATCTATATTGTATAAGTAGTCATGATTAAATAATGTTTGAATGCAATCTATAAAAAAATATTAAAAAATGTCTATGTAAAATACAGTTTGTAAATTCTGAAAAGCAAACGAATGTAGAATCTAGAATATATATATATATATATATATATATATATATATATATATATATATTTCTTTCTAATGAATTATCTTGCGTGTATGTATATATCTGTGAAGTTCGACAACTCTTTCTTTCTCTCCTCCGAATTCTTTTAATCTGTCATCTTTCTTTCTCATTCATTCTATTCCACTCTTCTCTGACAGTTTCTCTCCATTTAGCTTTCAGGTTGCAAAAAATTGCCCTTCATTGTACTCTACCAAAAAATGACAAATTTAAATGAGTTAAAAGAAAAGTAACTTTATTTTGCATTATTGTAGGAGCTCATAAAATTGCCGCCGTAAGATAGGATATAGAAACTTTTTTTATAGGGTTAACAAAATTGACCATAGATGTAATTTTAATTGCTTCGCTACTTATAACATAAGCCTCTTGATAAATATTGCGTTCCAATACTGATATTTTAAAGGTATTTGATACGGTTCAACTTTCGGGGAAAAGTCTTAATTTTTGGTTAACTTGTGCGGCTGTATTTATTTAGGGTTGTCATTAATTTCGAACCCCACTTGCAAGACTTGTGGAAGAAAGTCAATTACTGATATTAAACATTTAAAACTGTACAGATCGAGTTTATTGCTCCCTTGCGATTTTCGCTAAATGTAAATGCTTAGAAATTGCGTAAAATGTAATAGATGCCTATCGTTAGATCGCCTTGTTCCCTTGCTTGTACAGTTACGTAGATCCTTTTCGGCAGCGGGGGGCACATATCTAATGTTTGATCGGACAGCCATAATGCCAGTAGTGTTAAAATTTGATAATACTTGGAGGAAAATAAGTCGAAATTTCTTTTCGCATTTAAACGAAGTTTGCATAATGCTGAATGGTTAATATTGACTTTGAACAATTACCCAACGCCGTGATCTAAATACAAAGATGAACGTACATGTGACATAAAATGACGCGTTTGAGCAAACGGAGTATTATCCTCGAATCAACAAGTGACGGGCGAATGGGGGGGGGGGGGGGGGTGTTGGTCAATGGCACAGGGGGCACATACCTTTAGTATAAAATGAAGAAGTTCGACCTTAAAGGTGCACCCGGGCCCCATTGAGATATCAAATAATCATCGACATGTGATTGTACTTTTTTTCAGAAGATCTTTGAATTGTACTTTCTCCATCCAAGCCAGATAATTTCCACATCTGATTACAAAAAACACACAAGTAAAATTGATATTCATACATACAATAATAAACGCTTAAACGAAACATCTTCAATTTAAATCATAATTTGGTGGGGGAACATTTACTTTAAAAGTTTCTTGAATATACTAAAAACGAGATAGAAATACAAAGATCAAAACAACACGAAACATCAATATATAGCATTAAACCAGACAAATCCATTACAAAATAAAAATATAAAAGACATATTTGTAAAAATAATCCTATTTACACATATTCATTTAAAGAAATTTCTTAAGCTTTCTTTTGAAAAATGACACTGTTGGGGATATTTGAAGTTCTTGAAGCAATTTGTTTCATGATTTCTATTACATATTAAAAAAATCCTCTAGAATCACAATCACCGATTGTTAATATACACTGTTGGTCATAATGGTGGAATAATTATTTTGACCCCAATCTATGGAATGATTTTGACAATGATTTATTCCAAATAGATCTGGATAATAGTTTACATTCTCAGATTTTAATGAATGATAATTTGTGAGTGTTTGTTTTGCGTGACTGCTAAAGCATGCTACTATGCTAATTAACAAGGGGACCTACGCCCTTAAGTCATAACTGATTGTGATAGTAATAATGATTAATGCCTCACAAAAGGGCATTAATATAGCTGATCGACACGGTTTTGATCCTGGGGTCTCACAGTAAGGAGGCCATTGCTTAGCCACTGAATCATGACTTTACGCAGTGGGGGCTAGGGTACGTCGCCGCCCCCTCAAATACAAAACACAAACAAACTGCAATTTATCATCAATAAATCAGTACATTTTGCCCCGATTCCCAACAGAAAAGTAATCCTTTGTGTGGCCATGTCTTGAACCATAATGCTTGGCCCTACAGCGGTATGTAGCAATAGATTCTTTAGAACGGCAATATTAACATCATCATATCCTGGGGTTTTACATGATTCAAGTTTTTTAACAATTTTAAATATTTCCAAAATCTCAACTGGTTTCTTAAATGTAGAATTTGAAAAGTCTCTTTTAGGTTTTAAAATAATGCAAGAAATCAACGGAGGCATCATGTAGACTATTTACAGTGTCCCTACAAAAAGTACTCAAAAGTTATTTAATGCTTGGACAATGGCTTGTTTATCATGTATCTGTCTACCATTTTGTTCAATAAAATCACATTGCATTTTTCCCGAACTTTCATTAATGGTTTTCCAAGTTGCCTTAATATTAAATTTGACACGTTTAAATCTAGAAAAATAATATTCTCGAATCATAAACACATCTGCAGAAAATGCAGAAGAGAAAGCGCCAAAATATCTTTTAGTTTTTAGCTTTGGTAACACCAACACATGAATCATGTGTACAATTTTCAATTCGGATGAATTTATTACCAAGATTTGAGCCAGCAGAAAGAACGACTATATGATGCATTATTTCCAAATATTGCCAATAATCATAGTTTTGACAACTTACATAGGAATGTTATGAATGGACAAACTATATTACAAAACATCTTGATATTTGTAATAATTCAGTTTTTGTATGAATTCTCTGTCAAGGATACGAGTTGCATTCGAAAATTCGGACAATAAAGAATAGATCATTTGGCAATAACACATTACACAATAGTTTTTTAAGGTTATATACCATTCACTTCACGACATGCTGGGAACTCATCTCTATTAAAGACAACGCGATTTATTGGGTCATGTGCCCTCCCATGCCAGGAAGTGTGAGCTGGATGTTAGAGCCTTTCTCTATGTCATACTTCTCCAGAGTCGTTGAGCCTTCTAGCTGCTTGCCTTGATAAATCAGACGCTGTACATTGGCTGGGATGCCGCTCTTATCCGCGACCTGTTGCTTAAGGGCGTCTACCGTGTCTGACAAGCGAACATAGAAGGATAGCGACTTGCCTTCGAGGTTATGCACATAGATCTGCAGTGTTTCCGTTACGTAAGTGGTTCCCCGTTGCTGTGTCGGTTTGGCAGAGGCCTTTTGGGCGTTCATTCTTTTCATGATAACTGCCTGCTCATCGAGAATGCAGTTGAGCTTGTAGTTCTGCTTCAGACTGTTCAAGCCCGAGGAGGGGATACGGGTTTCCTTTTGGCAGACACAGCATTTGATTTTAGACGTCCAACCTTTAAAAGCATAAGCAAAATGATAAAAACAACAATAACAACAACTGTATTACTCATTTTAACTTGAGGAGCGCTTACATTGCAAAAGACATAACTGACACAGGCTTTAATTAAGTTTACATCTTCAACGACGAATCCTAATTATGCCCCTTGCATTTCAATGATGCCTATACAGGGCGTATCATAATAAAGGATATTGAAGTTTAATGACGATTTATATGAAAACTACTGATTTCATAATCAAGCATTTTATGTCAGTTGTAAAGGACAGAATGTCCTCTTGTTAATGACACCCCGATCATACTACTACTGTCACAGTTGACTGAATAACAACGCATTGCTGTCCACCATGTGAAAGGTGCACTGTGCCAAGTTTGATAACATTTCCTTCTTAGACACATAATCCACTCATTGTTCAGCATTTCAATATGTCTGGGCTGACACAAGCACTAATCTTTAGAATTTATCTGTGAATGCTAACTTGTCACAGTGCACCTTTCACATGGTGGACAGCAATGCTTTGTTATTCAGTCAACTGTGACAGTAGTAGTATGATCGGGGTGTCATTAACAAGAGGACATTCTGTCCTTTACAACAGACATAAAATGCTTGATTATGAAATCAGTAGTTTTCATATAAATCGTCATTAAACTTCAATATCCTTTATTATGATACGCCCTGTATATCGTACTTTGATCTAGAGCGGCAGTTATTAGCATAAAATTCATAAAGGCGACAATAGAAGATACAAAATACAAATCATAATGAACTTACAGTTATATTTTTCAATTCATGATGAATTGCTTGAAAATTACGCTGAAAAATATAATAAAATACATTTACATAAGGCTGATATTGCACCAGAGCATCTAGAATCCCAGAGTTTCCAGGGTCCTTGAGCAGGCCCTGGACCCCGGCCGCAAGGGACTTCGCGCTTATCGCACATTCAGGTTATCGGGTTAAGTGCTTCAGCCCCCCCCCCCTCCACTTTAAAAGAGCCTTCCTACGCTTATGATAATCATTATCTTTATCATCATCATCATCATCATCATTCAAGTACGTACCATTTATGGCTACCAGCTCTTGAAGACATCCCAGGCAGTAGGTATGGCCACATGATAGATCCCTAGCATCTTTCAGTACATCCTGACAGATCGCACAATTCAGGTTCTTCACAAGATCAGTATACATCGATTTCAAATCCACGTGGCTCTCCATTGTCGATGTGGTGATGATACTTTTGTTGCTATATTGCTGGAGTTTTCAGTCTTACAGAATTGAACCTTCTCTCACTGATCGACCCACAATATAAGACTGCTTCTTCACTAAGTAAGAGCTCAATGGTAATGGGTTTTCCCAACGGATTTTGCGACATTACTCTCTTTTGGGGGTATTTCCAAGCTGCATCTGCTTGTGTTGCGCAATTAAATGGTTCATATATTTCTTCCTGGGAAAATGACAATTGCAACCCTTTCGAGAAAAAAATCAAGGTAACGCGTTTTCGAGATAGTTTTGTCCATCCGCTTCTAATGTGCGAACAGGAAATTGAGGTATTACGTATCACGAACATGATTTATAACGGGTATACAATGGATTTGCCTCTCAGTTGATTATTTTTCAGACAGGTTAAATATACCCTGGACAAAATAAGTAAAAGCGGAGAGAAAAAAAGTCCATTAAAAGTACAAAGGGCTCAATTGAGAGAAAGAGAGAGAGAGAGAGAGATGGAGAGGGAGGGAGAGAGAGGGAGAGAGAGAGAGAGAGAGAGGAAAAGAGAGAGAGAGAAAGAAAAGGAGAAAGAAAGAGAGAAAGAAAGACAGAGATCGAGGGAGATATGGAGAAAGCACATCAGAAAAAGGAATTATTAAAGTGAGGCTTTCAAATGAATATGTGAATAAATTGAATCTCGTACCGAAAAAATCGGCCACCACAACCCCATTCAAACAGTAAGTATATAGACAATGCTTCCTAGCAATCAGGCCTAAACAAAAAAAATCTACGGTCGGCTTTTTTTTTTTTTTTTAAACGTTAACAAAATAAAAGAGTTTTAATGAATAACACAGAAAGTATTACAGCATTCAAAAATATCAGCCCAAAGAGGGACCAAAAAAAAAATTTAAAAAATAAAAAATTCCGACCGACCGACCGACCCATGTTTTGGCACCTAAAGGGCAAAACAACATTTTTTGTTTGAAGGCCTCATTGTTCAAGCGTCCCACCGCAAGCTTCTGGCAGTCATGGGTCCGGGGAGTAGGGAGGACGGACTGGAGGAGGGGGAGATGGGAGAGCGAGAAAAAAATTCTGTCTCGGCGCACATCAGCTAGGAGGCTGTGGAAGGCAAGAAAACAAACTTCGAATCGTTTACATGTTGATGATGGCATCTAACAAAGAAGATGTTAGGACAACACTCAATATTATTTTAGTTGTGCTTTGTTTTATTCTATCATATATATTTATTTTTTGCTGGTTTGTTAAATCTTAGAACCTTGTAACCAAACTTCACGACTGTGCACAACCCGAACGCTGAGTCTATGTAGGGACGTACCAATCATCGATGAACACTGCCCAGTCATGTGCGGCATCTGTCTCGGAAAATAGTCGTGAGATGGTCGTAAGAGCACCAACGATTCGTGAATGTGAACTACTACTCGGTATCCCCAGCTTTTTCTTCGATATCTCCTACAACATGTTTTAATTGAAATCAATAATCTAAAATGTGACTTATCAAAAGGACTTTCACGAAAATAACTCAAGGAAATGAACTCAACGAAATGCCATATTTGTAATAATAAAGAGTTATCGTCAGTCACGCATGTGAGGGTAATCATTTCACATTTCAATAGGATATTTACGAGGCTTTTGAAATTGATTACGGTTGATACTCGAAAGTATCTACGATCCCGTGGACTGTTTTCCTATACTGTTGATGCTCTGTATTATCTCAATCAAATGAACCTCAAAGGCTTGTTCAGATATCGCTTGGTAAACTCAAACTACCGCAAAAAATACATGAAATGTGAAGCGTATATTACAATTTACGTCATCCTATAGAAAAAGAATACCGCCGGGGATTTGCAGCGTCATATTTGAACGAGCCTTGTATGCTAAAATCCCTTTTCGTTTTTAATAATTGTCCTTTCTTTCGTTCATTTTCATATGATTAGATACACGAGATATTTTATATAAGAATTCTGGTCAAACCAGTAGAACCTATATTGGTAACTGTAACTAAGCTCATCTCATTTATCTTTATTGAACAAATAGTCATGATTACATAATTTTTAAATGCAATTTATTCAACAACATGTGAACATGCCTATCGTACAATACAGTTTGTAAATTCTGAAGAGCAAACGAATGTACTTCAAGCACAAATTTAGAAGAATTTTTTTCTTAAATCATCTTCTGTGTATGTAAGCATCTGTGAAGTTCGCCAACTCCCTTCCTTTCTCTCATCTGAATTTTTAACTCTATCATTTTCTTTTCTCTTTCTTTCTCATTCATTCTAATCCACTCTTCTCTGACAGTTTCTCTCCATTTAGCTTTCAGGTTGCAATAATTTTTCCTTCATTGTATTCTACTAAAGGATGACAAATTTAGATTTAACAGAAAAGCCAGTTTATTTTACTACAAACAAGTCACACAACTGAACAGTACAATTTTTCTAAAACAAACATTTGAAAAATGTTCTAATACTCGGCCGCTTTGCACCCTCGCATTATTGTAGGAGCTCATAAATTAACGCCTTAATATAGGATAAAGAAACTTTTTTAAAGGGTTAAAAAAATCGACCATAGACCATGTAATTTAATTGCTTCGCTACCTATAACTCAAGCCTCTTGATAAATATAGCGTTCCAGTACTGAAATGTTTAAAGGTATTTGATACGGTTCAACTTTCGGGAAAAAGTCTTAATTTTTGGATCACCTGTGCGGCTGTATTTATTTAGGGTTGTCATTAATTTCGAACTCCACTAGCAAGACGTAAGGAAGAAAGTAAATTACCGATTTTCGCTAAATGTAAAATGCTTAGAAATTGCGTAAAATATAATAGATGTAATATAAGTCGAAATTTCTTTTTCTCATTTAAACGAAGTTTGCATAATGCTGAATGGTTAATATTGACTTCGAATACAATTTTATGACAAATTGGTACTACAAAAATTACCCAACGCCGTGATCTAAATACAAAGATGAAGGTACATGTGACATAAAATGACACGTTTGAGCAAACGGAGTTTATTGATTAAACTATCCTCTAATCAACAAGTGCCAGGCGAATGGGCGGTGGGGGCGGAGGGTAATCGGTCAATAGCACAGGGGCAGATACCTTTAGTATAAAATGAAGAATGTGCACCCGGGCCGATTTGAGATATCAAAGGCTCCTCGACATGTGATTGTACTTTTTTTGTCAGAAGATCTTTAACTTGTATCTCCTCCCTCCTTCCATTCCAGCCAGATAATTTCGGATCATAAACACATCTGCAGAAAATGCAGATGAGAAAGCGCCGAAATATCTTTTAGTTCTTCCCTTTGGTAACACCAACACATGAATCATGTGGACAATTCTAAATTCGGATGAATTTGTTACAAAGATTTGAGCCAGCTTGTTCCAGAAAGAAAGACTGTAATCATGATGCATTATTGCCAAGTATTGCCAATAATCATAGTTTTGACAACATAGGTATTTATGAATTGACAAACTATAACAAAACAAAATTGATATTTATAATAATTCACTTTTTGTATACCTTCTTGACAAAGATACGAGCTGGGTTTGGAAAGTTCGGACTACAACAATTACATAATTTGGCAATAATGCATGACGCAATCGTTTTTTTTAAATGTTATATAATTATATACCTATTTATTTCACGAAATGACGGGAACTCATCTCTAAGACATTGCAATTTATTGGGTCATGTTCCCTCCTTTGAGGGGAATTGTGAGCTCGATTGTAGAGTGTTGTCCTATGTTATACTCCTCAAGAGTTGTTGAGCCTTCCATCTGTTTGCCTTGATAAATCAGACGTTGTACATTGGGTGGGATGCCAGTCTTCTTGTCGACCTGTCGCTTGAGGGCGTCTGCCGTGTCTGACAAGCGAACGTGGATGGATTGTGACTTGCCTTCGAGGTCACGCACCCAGATCTGCACTGTTTTCGTTGCCTCAGTGGTTCCCTTTTGCTGTCTTGGTGTGGCAGAGGCCGGTTCGGGCAACGAAGCTTCCATTTTCTTCATGATAGCTGCTTGCTCATCGAGGATGCAGTTGAGCTTGTAGTTTTGCTTCAGACCGTTCAAGCCCGAAGAGGGGATACTGGTCATCTTCTGGCAGAGACAGCATTTGATGTCAGACGTCCAACCTAGCATAAGCAAAATGATGAAAACAATAATAACAAAAACTGTACAAGCCATATTTATTTTAAATGGAGGAGCACTTACATTGTAAAAAGACATAACTGACACATGCTTTAAAGGGATAGTTGAGTTTTGGTATAGAGGGCGCTACACAAAATATTTTTTTGAGCGATATAATGAAAAACTGAGTGAAAAAGCATACAATTTAAATGACAAAATAATCTATGTTTGATCATAATCGGTTCAGAGACGGCTGAAATATCCATAAATATAATCATTTCTAATATTTCTAGGGCCCCACAAATATTTGATAATTTTGAACCAGCCGTTTTATTCCAGCCAATGCCAATGTTAGCTTTTTGTTGGCTTTTTCGTGTTTGTTATAATACGCAAAACCAGCCGGCCAGTACCTTCATAGCAATTTTTGGTCCTAAAAGGGCACTAGAAATATCATAAATAAGAATAAGAGCAATAACCATGCACTTTAAAGGCATTTGTGGTCTCAAACAAGAAATCAACTGTCCCTTTGATTTAGATCACATCTTTAACGACGAATCCAAATTATGCCCCGTGCATTTCAATAGGGCATATCTATCGTACTTTGATCCAGAGCGAGAGTGATTAGGATACAGGTGACAACAGAAGATACAAAGTTTAAACAATCATAATGAACATACAGTACTATAAAAGGATGATATCATTTTGAGTGGGTTAGGGGTGCCACAGACCCCAAGCCCCTTTAGCGATGCCCCTGACAATGTAAATAATATCATTATTATTATTATTTGTGCTGTTTATGTCTTCTTCTCCTTATCACTTTCATTATCATTATTGTTATTTTTTTTTTTATAGTAGTAGTGGTATGAGTATTGTTATTATCATGATCATTATCATTACCTCCATCATTATCTCCATCATTATCCTCATCATTATTTATATCATCATCATCATCATAGTTATCATTATTTTCATCACCTTCATCATCATCATCATTATCATTTTAATGGCTCACGTACGTACGTACCCTTCATGGCTACCAGCTCTTGAAGACATTTCAGGCAGTAGGTATGGCCACATGATAGATCCCTAGCCTCTTTCAGTACGTCCTGACATATCGCACAATTCAGGTTCTCCACAAGATCAGCATACATCGATTTCAAATCCACGTGGCTCTCCATTGTCGATGTGGTGATGATATTTTTGTTGCTATATTGCTGGAGTCTTCAGTTTTACAGAATTAGACCTTCTCCGACTGATCGACACACCTTAAAGGACTGCTTTTTCACTATAAGTCAGAACATGATCTCAGTGGGTTTTCCCCACGGATTTTGCGACATTGCTCTCTTTTGGGGAATTCCAAGCTGCCATTTGCCTGTGTTGCGCAATAGTTGAGTGTGTTTAGTGTTGAATGTTGAGTGTGTTTAGTGTGTTTGTGAGAAAAAAAAATATTAGAGAGACAGAGATAAAGATAGATTACTATAGAGATAACATATTTTGTTTACTCAATATATCGCCTACTGGCGTAGCGGGCTCATCTCATGAGATCTGAGGGGCGCTGTCATCATCGAGGCACGCTCATTTATATTATGCTAAGTAGCAAATTAACCGAAAAGGAAGAGGGCCAGAATTTTTTCTCGCGTACTGGCCCTTGCCCCTTTCTCTATCTCTTCTCACTCTCTCTCTCTCTCTCTCATCCCATCTCTCTCTCGCCTTCTCTCTATCTCCATTATCTCTCTCTCTCTCTCTCCAGTCTATCTCTCTTTCTGCCTTAGGGTTCCTTTTCTTTGCCCTGTAATTAGGGGCGGCACTATACCCCCTGCTCACCTAATTACCTACGCCCCTCTGGATGCTTACCGCTGATAATAGTTATGGCTACAAAACTATCAAGAAGATCAGATTCAAGTCCCAACTAAAAATGAAGTCTTTATCATTATGAGGTACAGTTTCAAGCTCCGATCACACCAGTCACGTCATATTTTTTACGAGCCATTCGACGTGAAGTATTCATGTATAAACATGTGGAAACAACCGAGCCGTGGGGAATCCCCATCATTGGTCTAATAAAACAAGCCCACTCAGAAACAGTTGTATTGAGTTTTTACAAACGTGTATCAATCAGATATGATTATTTACGTGTGGGGACCGACCTTTAAGTTTGGAATCGGGGTCGCCTGTGCCACTTTGTAGGCGATCGAAGGCAGACCTGACCAAGACATAGTGAACGTGCCACTTGACCAACTCATATCTCCTCGCTGTAAGCACTGGTCTCCACATCGCTCACATGGGCATACAGCCATTGTATCAAAAATGGCGAGGCCTAACCGTGGAGCCTTGAAAACAATATATGCCGAGCTTGAGGAATGCTTGTCTTGCACCATTTGTCATGGTGTCTTGCAAGAAGCCAGAGATCTGCCCTGTGGACATACATTCTGCCTGTCTTGCTTGCAGGAATACGCTGGGATGAAGGGATGGATAGGGACGGTCGAGTGCTGCCTATGTCAAAGGAAGTGCAGGGTACCGCCAGGCGGCTTGACGACCCTTCCGCAGAACTTCAGGCTCAAGTCTGTCGTCGAGAGAATGAAAAGATGGCAGGAGCTGGCCGAATCTGCGATCAAGGATGATGACACAACGGATGTGCATTCTGGATCTGTGGATCGTGTTGCAGCAGAGTCGGTCTCCTCGCGTTCTCTGTCCGTACGGACCAAGTTAGCAGGGGTTTCATCAAAGGGGACCCATCGGCATCGACCAAATCAACGGATCGCCCCCGACCACGCGGCTAACAATAATTCCGCCGTCGCGACCGCTGACGAAGTCGACATCGGAGGCGGCATGAGGAACACAGTACAGATCTTTGTTCGCGACCTAATAAATCTTGAATCACGGACATATCTGATACCCATCCGTCTGAAAGACTCGGTCGAGACCATGATGCTAAAGTTAGAAGACAAAAGGAGCTGGCTACCAAGCACTAGTCGATTAGTCTTTTGTGGAAAGCGTTTGAAGGGTAGCATGAAACTGTGGGAGTACGGGATACAACCAAACAGTACTATTGATCTATATTAGTTTAAGTTGAATGACCTGGGAGTCAATAATAATTCTGAACAACTGTAATGCCTATGGAAATCAGGTTCGAATTACGTAATCAATGCAAATGTCATGTTCGCACATATGCAGTGGCTTAGCTACGCAGGGTGTGTTGGGGTCATGATCCCCCCAATCGAATGACCCACAAAAAAAGTGAGAGCGAGGGGAAAGATGAAGGAAAAGGACTGTATTTTGCTTGCAAATGCTCTTCAAAGATTACCATTATGTGAATGCACCTCTTACAACAGGTTATGATAAATATAAATCACGATTTGATTTCATATTGAGTTTTAAACAGAAACTGAATCTAAAGTTTTTTTGTTCGGTAATATCCCTGATTCTGTATACGTGGCTATATAATTCTGTTATATTTACCACATTCATATGGTTTTAACGAGGTAAAACATCAGTATCGATAATTGTGGAAGAAAAGACACTCAATTGTTCTTTGTCTTTAATGTTAAATACGCATGAATATGAAAAGAGCATCTCTGCCATATCAGGTCCAAAACGTTTTAAAAAATAGAATGATGTATTATGGCATATGACGAGTGCCTGAGTGAGCAAATTCAATCTTCTGTGTTGAATTTGAGATTGGGGTGACGCGAAAGCTTTTTATTTCTTAAAAGGGAGCAGAGAATAAACAATCCCCACTGATCTAGTAGGGTTCCCCCTCCTCTCCAATAACAGAACCCACGCTAGGTTGATATTTCGAAAGTCTTTGACATCGTGTTAATCATCTTACTAATAACAATTATCATACTTCGTTCTTGTAACCAAGGATGCCTCACCACAGTTTTCTTTGCGCTTAGCAATTTAGTAACATGGAAACTGATTATAGCGGTTCTATACCAATATATATTTCTGATTTTGTATTCAGGTCTGCATAAAGTTTTTTTTATAAAGTTGTATGATTCGACCGTTGATTATACGATTCTACACGTGATCTGTACAGAGTTGAACAAATATCATTGCTGGACCTTGTCCTTCTTTTTATGTGTGTGGAAAATACCTTTATAGAGCTATTGATCTTTTCGCTGGTAGAGGCGTACATGCTAATGATCATTATATATAAATACAACATCTGCCATTACCACTGCCAAAGACGCACTCCTGATTGACCTCCAAGAGTCGATCCAGACAATTTCAAATGAAACATTCCATGAAAGTAAATGGAATCACCGTGCTCCTTGTCATATATTATTTTCTTTGAATGTTATTTAACATATTGCTCAGTGGAAAAGAAAATAAAACTGACAAAAATGAGTACGGTCTAGATATTTCATTTGTTTAATTTGTATTATAAACAAAAGATATCTATGTCAGTGTTAGCCTGAGTAGTAATACTGTACTAATGTCCTTTGGCAAGACATTGATCTACATTTGCCACACTCCACCCAGGTGAAGTAAATGGGTACCTGGTAGGAATTTATTCCTTGAAACGCAGCGCGCGTAACAGCTGCACTGCTAAAGCCAGGGTAATTATGCTGCATTATTGTAGAGCGCTTAGAGACTTCTGACAAAGTAAGTGTTAGGCGCTATATAAGCACTGTAATTATTATTATACTATTTCCTTGTGCCACGTGGTTTAAAATTACCCTAAAATTTCGAGTTTCAAGTTGAATTGTTTCCACTTTATCGAACATAACATAATTGAACATAATGTACATGGTAATAGTTATGACAAACGATAGAGCAATGGAATAATCATAATAAAGTACGATAGATACATTGACAAAACTAAATAAAGTGCGGGATCTTCTAAAAAGCAAAGCTTGTATTATGTAGGTCCCAATTAATGGTTGTTTAAAATAGGATATCTCACTAAACAAAAGTGATAAGATATTTTGAAATTCTCTCGTTTCTTAAAAATTTCCCTGACATCTGGACTGCTTTGTATTTATGATCAAAGGCATTCGATCTTTAATTTGATTTTTAAAAGGTTTATTCAATTTATTTAAACAAATCTTCGCAGTTATAGTTATTAGTTATTATGATTTTTTTTCCAGTAACTGAGATCAAAAAATGTATACCTAGTTAATAAATGTAATAACAATAAATAATCAGCATGATTTTAAACTGATTTCAAGTACGGTTACAGTAGAAGCAAACAAAATAAATATACGCCATGTTGCGACTAAGTGAAACCAATTTGACCAAACGGATGACTTTGTCACGATCTAACCATCACCATCCCCTTCCACACACGCACACACGCCGACACATCCGACTACCACTTTTTAGTCACTCTGTATGGCAAGAAATTTGGTGTATTTTTCAAATCAATGAAGGAAAACAGTGACATAGAATATAATCATTTGTGGCAATGATTGAATTTTATTTAGTTGAATTCATCTTTTCACCATACTTTTCTTAGAAACGCTCATCAAACACACAAGTGCATAATTATATATCTACAAGGTATTAACAAGGTGATCTAAGTTACATAAATAGATGTAAAACTGAGTTTGGATCATGATTTCATGAAAAATCGATAGGATCTCATTTATTCAGTGTACAAAGAATACATGTATAGGGCCAGCATTATTCTTTCAAAAAAAAAAAAAAACGATGTGCACAATAAAAGAGAATGCATTCATAATAAACCCGTTAATTCCCTGATTCAGTTGATATAAAGGTAACACTGAGTTCAGGTAATGACAAAATATCACATACAATTATACAATCACATACAAAAGTTGGGTAGAAACTGTAATAACGACATTAGCAACCATATAATGAAACGCTATTAAAATGAAGGGAGAACAAAATGTTATTTCCTTATATCAAGGTGACGAAAATAATGGACTGATAATTTTGAAAATCAGCTGATATCATGAATATAAAAAAGATGACAAAATGCTCAAGGTATATCCTGTTTATTTGTATACTAAATATAATATTGAATAAGGCAGACTAATGGAACATGGTTGCTACATCGAGTTTCACGCCTTGTGAGCGATCATCAGGCAACTGCATGGTAACATTCTACAACCTTGGTGCAAATACGTTCAAAATAAGACTTAACTATACAATACAAAACGATAAGTTTTACTCAAGGGTGAACGGGCTATTGTAATTGCTCAGATACTGCGATGGATTTCTAAACATGAAGGTTATGGGAGGGGGTATCGCAAAATAGTCTCCACCAAGGTGCTAGTACATGAATATTTATTTATTTATGTATATAGTATCTTTTGAAGTTGCAGAGGTAGCTGTTTTTGTGCTTCTCATGTCGGAAGGGCTGTAGGTGGTTGTCGTACCTTAGCTTGAAAGGGGGCTCGGTGAGTCCAATATATTG